CTATTACTTGTTCCTAAAGAATTGAGATGCCTCTTATTATAAACAAACCCACTTGGGTTTGTTTTTCACATATCTTTACAATTAGGGGGTTATGATTGTTTTAGCTATTGATTATTCTGTTCTGTTTTTTTTCTGTAATTGTCTGTTTTAGTAACTGCCTACTGTAAAGATAATGTTTTAATATATATATATAGTAGTTTGTTAAGTGTATGCTATATTTGGAATTTTATTATTCTACTTATAGGATTTTAAAACTTTTTTTATTCACTACTTTTTCTCTACCTCATTGTAACATTGTAAGTGTTATTAAAGATTTCTAATAATCTTTCTCTTGCCTTTACAAAGACAATGAGACCCAGGACAATAGATCTGACATTGCTCACCAGCCAATGTGGATGTCGAAACAATGAGGACTCTGCAGGGTAAGTATCATTATAATACCTGATGACATCCTAGCCAAGTGATTTTCTGCTTCATAAGGTAGTATCCAACAAATTAATTTTTGATGTATTGTCTTACTTGTAGGTTCTTGGCACAGAACAAGCAGCTGAAGAAGCCACAGTGATAACTTTGCTCAGCTCTGTCATCAGCACATCATCAGATCAGTTCCTTGATCTTTGCGTATAATACTTCTTTAATCACACTATAATTCTAGTGAGTTTAACTATATCAAATACAAAGGTAGAGTAGTACCTGACAGTAAGTGCATATTAACTTGTCTTTGAGAAATGAACTTGATTTAACCATGATACTGACATATGAGAAGGATATAACCTACAAGTAAGATAATAAAACATTAGTATATTATTTGTATTTTAACTTTATTATTATTTACTCTTTAATTCCTGGGAGAACAATCAATGATTCATATAACAGCAGATCTGTTTTGGCAGTGTCATGCCCTCATCCCAACACATTCTCACATGGAAGCCCACTCACGCTAATTTCACTCCAGCCCTGAGCACTTCTGCCAAATGACACCGCTCCTGCCAAACACGACACTCCATCAATCGCACTGATTGATGTAGAGTAGAAGGTTTTGGAGGGTTTAAGTATTGTGAGAGGAAGAAGGTGCACTACCTTCTTCCTCTCACAATACTTAAACCCTCCAAAACCTTCTACTCTTCCCCTGGTATTGGTCGTTCTTTGGAGCTCCTGCCTTGCCTTGCTTTTCTCATTATGAACCATGAAACTTGCCTTTGACCACATACCTTGCCTAGCCCTCTCCTGGATTGGAAGCCTTCTTGTTACTCTTCATGATCTGAATCACGGAACTTACCTTTGACCACGTCTCTTACCTAGCCCTCGTTTACTCCGGAAGCTACCTTCTAGTCTCCTGACCACCTGAGGTACCACACAGCATCCATCCTCCCGTTTGCTCAGTGGATCAATTGTGACAGGTGGTATATCAATAAATAAACTGCATATACTGTACAATATATTTAAAATCAGTGTATGAAACTTTAAATTACTATGTCTGATCCCTGGCAGTTAACAGAAAACTCATTTACACACACTGACCTGTCTGTTTTTCTCTACACAGATGCACACTCTCTCACATACCCGCATACCACATATAGAGAAACACACTAACACACTCTCTTTCACACTAACCTGCTTGGTCAGTCTCCTGGAATCCCCCTGCCACAGCTCTCCTCACATCCTGAGCATAAAGAGCAGAAAGAACGGTGAGACTCAGAAATAGGTAGAATCAGCAGATTTTAAAGGAAGAGGTATGAAGCTTTCATACTAACACAATGAAAGCATCCATAGTGACAACAATTCCATAGTAAGAATGAGAGACAACTCCTTGGTGTATCTGCACTGAGATACTGGGTTGTGGTCACTAATATTTTACACTGTACATGTGAAATAAAACAACACACAGACACCCAACTGCCCTCAGTGATGAATGTGTATTAATTCCGTCTCACTAGTCACTACAGATCTTTATCTCTGTCTTTGGAAGAGAGCACAGGGACACACAGAGTCACTCAGTCCTTAGAGTTTAACAGTAAAATTAGTTGGTGAAAATAGTATCAATATTCAGCACAGGTCTAATCTTATATAGCAGATGAGTGACTGAAGCCTCTTACCTGTGTCAGTCCCTGGTCTGACATAAAGACGGTTTCATGTCCCCTGTGTTCGTTCACTGAACACAGGCTGCAGATGAGAGTTTGGTCAGTATTACAGAACAGTTCCAGAGCTTTTCTGTGCTTCTGGCACAATTTGAGCTCCTGGTCTCCACTGATGTCCACCAGTCTGTGTTTCTGCAGAGCTGGGACTGTGTAGTGCTGTCCGACGTGTATTTCACAGTAGGAGGCTGGGCAGACATGACAGTATTTCACAGCCCTGAGCTTCTTCTCAGGGCAGAAGTCGCAGAAAACATCTCCATGCCCAGCAGACCTGTGAGTGAGCAAAATAATCATATTGTGTCTCGAACTCAGAGAACGACTGTCACAAAATTCATGCAGAATCTCTCTGCACTGCTCTTTACACAAACAAAATACAACCACAAAAATTCAGGACAGGAGAAAAAAAAATAGATCCTTACAGAGTTCAAGACAGAAAGGGGAAAAATGTCATGGACATATAGCTGGGAGCAGATTCTGCAGCTCTCTTCCTATGTCACACATGATGTGCAGATAACTTCAAGGGCAGAAAATGTTTTGAGAATCAAGGTTCTATATTCTACCGCTCCTCACTATTGTGCTCAATTACAGCTCACTGTTCCTCCAGAGCTGTGTGTGTCCATGGTCATAACTACATTGCATACTCACCATTTCATCCCTTAGTTGTAAGAAAATAGAATTTTGGTTTTTTTTAGCATTTTCTATCTATCAGTTCTTCATTAGTTTAAAATGTTTCACAGAGCAGAGGAAATAAGAAATGGAGAAGTGATCCAGTTCACACAATTGTGTCTCATGGAGAGATCCACTCAAAGGACAACAGTGATCCCACCTGGGGTGAGGAATGAAGGTTCCATCAGTGAACTTTATTGGTGGGTCCATTGACTGGTCACTCTTCATGGAGACACCACTGGGAATTGGTGACCCCGGTCTGTCCAGCTTCACCCTGTGAACAACACAGACACAGTATTTCCATTAACCTCATCTCTCCACATTTGAACACTGGGCTGAAATACACAGACCAGGTGTATTCTTTCAGACGCTTGCTCAGAGTGTCTCTGTTAATGTCACTTTAATAATTAGCAGTGGCTCTGCTGGTATTGTGGCTGTTCTACTTCACCTCCAGGCTCACAGCCACTTTTCCTCTTCATGGCCTGAAGGAAAGAGCCTGCAGGGGGCAGCACACAGACCCAGTGTGTGAACGTGAACCTGAACTCCAGGGTGTTTCTGCTGGTTTCCAAACTGGAGCAGCTCAGAGAGCCTGGAGTCACTTTTCTACTGGGGAGTCAGAGCTGCTCAGATGAAGTCACATATTGATCATGTACTGTAGCTGGTGATGTTGTTGGTCAAACTGATAAATCTTCTCATCTCTGTTTTGGTCCTTCACACAGTCGCATTATCCTGTATATTCAATTACCTATTAATCCTTCTCTGATCCACTTAAATTATTAATCTTGTAAAAGCACCAGAAATTCAACACATCCAGAATGTAAAAATCAGAAAATCCAAAAGATGCAAGTAATGTCCACATTTACAAGCTAAACTACAATCATTAAAGGAATGATTGGGCCCACCTGGTCAGCTTGGTAGTTAGTAGCTAATTGATCCAAGGATCTCAGCCTGTGTTTTTCTTGAAAGACACCAGGTAATCAGTATCAGCCACATTTGTCAAGCATCCCTGGCTTTTGAAATATAGTATATAAAAAAAAATATTCAGCAGTATTTTTATTGTTTATCTCATGATGCACTCAATGGACAACAGTGATCCCACCTGGGGTGAGGAATGAAGGTTCCATCAGTGAACTTTATTGGTGGGTCCATTGACTGGTCACTCTTCATGGAGACACCACTGGGAATTGGTGACCCCGGTCTGTCCAGCTTCACCCTGTGAACAACACAGACACAGTCTTTCCAATAAACTCCTGTAGCAGAAAGGGTTATTAATAATACAGGAATTAAGTTTGCAGCTCCCTTGCCAGTTCCTCTCTCCCTCATCTTAGTGGTGCTGGACACAGAGAGGCCATTCCATGCGGTTCAGATTTTAGGTGTTTTTCTGCGTAATAGAGTTTCCTGATAAGAAACAACTCCCAAGGCTGAGATTCTCTAGCCACCCTAATGAATGGTCATCTCTGGTGCCTTTCTGTCTGGGAGATTCTAAGGAAGAGTCTCATCCCAAGGTTTACAACCCTAAGGTCAGAGAGCATTGTTACTCATCCTCCACCTTGATCAGCCAATCAGCAACTGGTAGGGCAGGGTAACCCCATGTGGGTCTCAAATGTCTGTGGGACTTTCAACCAATGAAAGACCATAGTTCCTCCAGATAAAAGAGGCAGCACAGGCCCAGAAGGGGCCCCTCCGACACTCTTAGACTCATCTCGGACAATCATGTGATGACCAGTGTGTCCGAGTGCCAGGACTTTACTTTGTTCTAAGAGTTGAGATCGGAGGTCGCCCGCGCGTAACCAAAGGATCCGCCTGAGGTTAGCCCAGCAGCAAGCCTCGTGAACCGCCGGTAACCCACCGCGAACGCTCGCCTGATCAATGAATGAACTACGGTCGGAACTGTCGACAGCTGAATTTCAAGATTCAGGACTAGCGCTACATAGGGAACGATCTGGTCTTCTTCCCGTCTAAAGAGTGTGACTTGCTCGGGCCCACAGTCAATTTTCATGAGCACAAACTCTCTTAGTTCAGCCAGGCCTAACTAGCTGGTCTTCAGAGAGTCACTGCTAGTGCACCAAAGCAGGAATTTCTCCTTCCTTCTCCCACACCTCAGCTGCACCAGGACTGCATGGCACCGGGCCAGAGGATGCTGATTGGACGCAACAGCCTGTTGCTGTTCCTTTGTGTCTCCGGGAAATCTGAATCCACATAAATTGGATGAGTATTCAACATTCTGAATTACAGCCCGAGAATTCAACTGTGACCTCAACCCCAGTTGATGTCAGTTTAATTTCTATGAGTGATGTACTTGCTTTTAAGTATCTAGTGTAGACATTGTAATCTAAGCTCTTTAAGGAAACGGTATAAATTAATGGTATGCTTAATGTATGTGTCTCTTGGTATTTAAAACTTCGTGATTGAATGTATACCTTTTGTATTCTCCTAACCCTCACTATAAGATCTGTTATGTTTATATGCACATTTTATGTATTAATAAATGTACAGTCGTGTATTAGTATTCGCATGTGTGCATTGCAGGGTTGTTCCGCAAGGTCAATTTTCAAATAGCCATCAAGGAATCATTTTGGGACTTACTGTTACAATTAATTCTTGTCCCAGGAAATGCACAAAACCCCTACACTCCTCTCTCCACATTTAGACACAGGGCTGAAGTACACAGACCAAGTGTGTCCTTTCAGAGTGTCTCTGTTAATGTCAATGTAATGTTTAGAAGTGGCTATGCTGGTCATAGGGCTGTTCTACTTCACCTCCAGGCTCAGTGTCACGATCCCTGCCTCCCGGCAACGGAAGAGGCAGAAGAAGGCGTAGCCTTACCCCATCAGTTTACCTATCAGTTTTCTTATTCACCACCACACCCCCGTCTCATCCTGTACTTAAACACCTGTCTTTCCCTACCTCCTTGCTCAGTATTGGTTTTCCTTTCGAGCTTCCTGGTTGCGCTTCTCCTTCTTCTGTCTTGTATCATTCTCGGTTTTCGGATTACGGATTTTCCCCCTTTGACGACAGTTTTTCAGATCACGGCTTGGCTTCGGTACTCACGCTCTGTTCTGGATCTCTGGCTTCCCCTGGATTCTCGGATTGCTCTATTGTCTACGGTTTCGGATCACGCTTTGGCTTCGGTAACTCGTTCCCTATTTGGATCTCTGGCTTCCCCTGGACTCTCGGCTCGTTTCTTCGACTACGGCTTTCTTTGGATCACGGCTAGGCTTTATCAGCTCCTGCAAGTGGGTTCATTCACTGGTTTCGGTTTCTCTTACCGAATCCTTAACACACAGCCACTTTTCCTCTTCATGGCTTGAAGGAAAGAGCCTGCAAGGGGCCAGCACACAGACCCAGTGTGTGAACATGAACCTGAACTCCAGGGTGTTTCTGCTGGTTTCCAGACTGGAGCAGCTCAGAGAGCCTGGAGTCACTTTTCTACTGGGGAGTCAGAGCTGCTCAGATGAAGTCACATATTGATCATGTACTGTAGCTTGTGATTTTGTTGGTCAAACTGATAAATCTTCTCATCTCCCTTTTGGTCCTTCACACAGTCACATTATCCTGTACATTCAATTACCTATTAATCCTTCTCTGACCCACTTAAATTTTTAACCCTGTAAAAGCACCAGAAATTCAACACATCCAGAATGTGAAAATCAGAAAATCCAAAAGATGCAAGTAGTGTCCACATTTACAATAAAACTACAATCATTAAAGGAATGATTGGGCCCACCTGGTCAGCTTGGTAGTTAGTAGCTAATTGATCCAAGGATCTCAGCCTGTGTTTTTCTTGAAAGACACCAGGTAATCAGTATCACCCATATTTGTCAAGCATCCTTGGCTTTGGAAAAATAGTATATAAATAAAATTATTCAGCAGTATTTTTATTGTTTATCTCATGATGCACTCAATGGACAATAGTGATCCCACCTTGGGTGAGGAATGAAGGTTCCATCAGTGAACTTTATTGGTGAATCCATTGACTGGTCACTCTTCATGGAGACACCACTGGGAATTGGTGACCCTGGTCTGTCCAGCTTCACCCTGTGAACAACACAGACACAGTCTTTCCAATAACCTCCAGTAGCAGCAAGGCTTATTAATAATACAGGAATTAAGTTTGCAGCTCCCTTGCCAGTTCCTCTCTCACAGCCCTTTCCCTCTTTCCTGTTACAATAGCCAGGGTACTTAGATAGGTTCCTATGCAGAGAACTGAGCAAAGTCCAAGAATCGTAATCCAAACAACCAGAATACTGAGCAGTGAAAGAATGAAGGTTACTGAAATACTTTAGTGCCGGGGGTGTGGTGATGAGACTGAAAAGGATAAGTATTCCGGAGAGGTCTACGCCTTCTTAAAGGGATAGTGTATGATGTTAATATTCCTGCAGAAATTTTTAGCTTTTAAATATATAACCAAACCTTGTGCTTGCCTTTCTTATTATTGTCTACAATTAATTTGTATTGTCTATGCAATGCAGATATCAAGTCTTTAATCTGATTTACCAGTGACACCTGTCTCTATGGTAAGTCTATGGTCATTCTTTAGAGTGTCTTTCAGGATGTCCACTGAGGACACAATGGTCACGTGTACCGAGTCCAGCTATCCAGGTATTAAAGTGGATTCCTTTTCAGTATAAATAAGACTGTGCCCATTCTTTAAGATGTGGTAGAGAAAGAAAGTGGAGATACTAGAGAAAAGAAGAATCTGCGCTGAGGGAAGGCTCCTCCTTTGATACAGAATAGATAAAATAATCTCAGCACTGTCTTAAATGAGAACTTGTTGTTCAAGAACTCTCTTGTAGTTAAAGGAGGGTATTGACATGGACAGCACAGGTGTATGGGACACATTTTGTTTTGCTGATGTTGTTTGTGAATTTTAGGTACATTCCTGGGACATTTTTAAATTCGCAATTAGATCTTGGATTTGGATTAATACTCTCATCTTTTCTTTTTTTTAATTACATAATGTTAGCATGCCCAAAAGGGTTGGGCAACCAGTTGACCTTGGACCCCTAGAGGTTTTTTTTTCTCCTTACTAAGGCGTTTTTGGTTCCTCTCCTCTGTTGTCTTCTGGTCTTCTGTTCTCTATTGACAAAATGTATTGTCAATTGCATTGTTAAGTGCCTTGAGGCAACTTTGTTGTGAAAGATGCTATATAAAAATAAATTGAATTGAATTGACCTTTGTATTTTGAACTACCCGAGCCCTGAGACATACCACTCCTCAGCACACATGAGCATGTATCACGATTGTAATCCCTTGTCTTAAGGGCGCTCCTGCCCTTTTTAGTTGAGTACATGCACCTGCCCTCTGTTTTGTCTCCTTATTTAAGCCTGGCACTCTTGCTGTTCCTGGCTCAGCACTGAAAGATGGACGCCCGGAAGCCCACCTACCAGCCGGTCCAGGAGAGACCCGACGGCACAGGCTTCATCACGGCATCCTAACCGTCTAAGTCTGGGGCTCGGAGCACATAGCCTCATTACCCTGGTTTCATTCCTTGTACCTGTTCTGGATACCGTTCAGGATTTTAACTTTTGTTTGTCTCCAGTTGGATGATTCACCCGGTTTTGGACTTTGGACTGTGCCCCAGATTTTCCCCCTTGAACTTTCAGAACTTGTTTGCCTGCACCACGCACACCGAGCACAGGATCACCGTCGTCATGCCCCCCCCCCCCCCCCCCCCCCCCCCCCCCCCCCCCCCCCCCCCATCTGTCAACCTGTCCTGATCCTCTACATCTATTCCTTGTTGTTCTTCTCCACTTCTGGATTATACCATCTGCATAGGGTCCTGAGCTACGCTTCACGAGAGCCTGGACTGGCTCCTGTTACAGCATGAAAGAAGGATCTGATCAATACCCCTCAGATACTTTTCATGAAACAGAAGGTTTCACTTCTTCCAATGTGTTATTTGACTACACATAAAGCAAACTGTGACAAATAGAGACACTTCAGTTCATCCCACTCATCATGAGTATAATGGATCTTTATCAGTCAGCCGATGTCTGTGAATGACTGAGCTCCTTTCAGCAGTGTGCACCTCTTATCAGTTACACCTTGACAACACAAGTACCTGTGACTCTTTCACATACTGTTACATGAATAACCATACAGTATGTGGCAGTGTTACATCAATGAATGTGATCATAATTCATCATTCAATGTCATTCACCAATCAACATCGCCACAGAGCTAATAAAATTATAATACTTATGCAGTGGAATTGTGAAACGAGACTTAATGAAGTAGTCTGTAATCCCTGAACAAATAAAAATGTCCAGTCTCTTCCTGTAAGTGTTGCAAACTGTGTTTGAAATATTGTGTTTAATATAATATAAGTGTTGAAATATTGGACAATTGTCCCTCACTGTGCTTTTAGTCACTTCCTTCTCAGACCTTCCCTGATTTGACCAAATCTACCATGACAGTTTTATGATTTATATCACAACTTGATACAGATCTGTGGCAAAATCATAACTGTACTTCTGTAGGGATATTCGTTTCCTACTGTATTTATACTGTAGTTTTGCCAACCTAAAGTGAACTTTCAATTTTACCATTTAAGTGAGATATAAGGTATTAGAACAGGGGTTCTTAACGTTTTTGAGAGTGTGACCCTTTTTAGGATTAAAAAAATTCCATGACGCCACCCCCCTCCACACACACAGCTTTAAAAACTTTTAATATATACATTGCAAAAATTGTAAGCCTACTCAATTAATAACAATAACAACAATAATAATATTGTAGAGCTTTCAAGTTCAATCAGGACAAAGGACAAATGGGGACGAGATAGGGAAACAAGCAACTATTTTTATTCTCCTTTTAGAACAATACCAACCACAGGGTTTATACATACATAAGGGGACCGAGGGAACACATACACATGTTTAGGGTGGTAACTTGTTAACAGAAAACTACACTACACACTTACTAAACTACACGGGTAAATACATAGGGTCAGCTGCTGGTCTTCGTGCAGACCCTTAACTCCTAGCCTGCTTCGCGCGGTACCCTGAGTGCCTAGGTGCGCTTCCTCCTCACCAATGGGCTAGGGCAATACAATATATATTTTTTAAATATAGCACCTTTCATACTTTTTTTGCAACTCATAGTGCTCATTTAAAAAGGTTAACACTTTACGCAACTTAAAAAGAGCAACAATAACAAGTGAAAAGAACCCTGCACAAACAATACAAAGCTCTGAAATTATATAAGAAAAATCAAGTAAAAGCACAAGTAAAAAAATATGTTTTAAGCGGCAGTTTAAAAATATCCACAGAACCACCCTCTCTAATATTTTTAGGCATAATATTCTACAGTTTAGGAGTGTAGTAGCAAAATGCTGCCTCTCCAGTCATCCTGGCTCAATTGCAACGAACTTCCAGAGTTAGTACATAGCTGTGTACTAAGTTGCGGTTTAGTTAGTACGGTACTTTCTGGAGATCATCTCCAGCTCTGAGTTCAATTGTAGCGAAAAAATGTGCGGAACAAATTTGGAGTTCAACTGAACTTGTGCTTGATCCGGATCCCAGGGCTCGGTGTTGTTGTTGTACTAATTAAAGTCCGAACTGCAGGGGACTGTGCATCAGAACATTTCAAGCAATCTGATTAGTAGGTTAATACTGTACATAGGCTACTTTAATATACAATTATTACTTTGTCTGTTTCCTGTTTATATTTAAACTACATTTCCTAAAAAAATAATGTTAGTTTTTAATTTAAGAATTGCATTTAGGCTACAATTCACCAGATGAGGGTACGTAGTTATTAATGGTATACTCAATTGCAATTATTCAAGAAACAATTGAAACAAAAATCGTTATAAAAGACACCAACTAATGACCAGTAAAGTTAAGTTTTATTTTTAACAGAACTGGAAATTAAACTTATAAAGTTACTTGAGCAAAAAAAAACTTTTATGGTTCCTCTGACCTTCTAAGCATTTCTATTTTTTAAGGTAATACATTTCTTTAGCACGGTGTACCTTTTGTTTACTTTCCAGAACTTTAATTTTCTCCTGAAATAAACTTTTCTCTTTCTCATCCTGTGTCAGTAGGAGCTTACATTTCAAATTAAGTTATTTCTTAGTCAGTTCCAACATCTTCCTTTCAAAGTGGGGAAGAGCTTGCTGGCGTGTTGCTCTGCTAAGATAAGGTTATCCTGTACAACAGTATCTTCTGACACCTGTGCACAATCCTACAACATTACAAGAGCAGCGCTACAACAAGAGTCATAAAAACGCAAGAAGCCACATTGAATGAGACACACAGAAAGGGAGAGAAGCTTGCGGTCAGAGCCCCTGGAGAAGTTGGGGTTAAGGTCCTTGCTCAGGGGCCCAACAGAGTCAGATTTCTCTACCAGCCGAGGGATTTGAACCAGCAAACTTCTAGCCACAGGCACAGATCCTGAGCCACAGTGCCACTGCTCTGCCCTTGTCGCGATTGTAATCCCTCCTCCTTAAGCCACTCCGGCTCTTTCACTTCGGACCTGATTTTGTGCACCTGCCCCTTGTTCCAGCCTCCTTCCAGCCCCGCTTAAAAGCCAGATGCCCACTCAGTTCAGGGCTCTGCATTGATTCCCGTATCATGAAAGCCCAGGACCTGGAATCGCCAGGCTCCGTTAGAGTTTTAAGTTTCTGTTCCTGTTCCCGTTCCCCCTGCCGGTTCCGACCCAGTTCCCATTTTTGACCGTCAGTCTCAGATGGACCGCCTGGCTTTGGACCTTTTGCTTTCATCCTGGATTTCACATTGGACTCTGTTTTGGATCGTTTGCCTCGGCCACACCTCCCCCGACCACCAGCACTTCATGGACCTGCCCCCCTGTTTTCATCCCCGCTTCCTGCATGCCTTTTTTCCCTCGTGAATTCTCACTCAACCCCGGATTGTGTCATCCACATAGGGTCCGGAAAGAATGCTTTTGTTACAGCCCTGTACGTATGCTTTGGTGCCGCCCGGTTCCTCATTACCCCTTCTTTCCTCTGATAACCATGATTATGGAGACCCATCACAATAAAATATTTAAGAAATCTATTCAGTATACTCCCAGATTTTAAAAAACACATTAAAGACTCATGCTCCATTTATATAACTATTTGCTTAAGTTCTGTTCTCTTCACTCCTTAGGATATCTTAAAATTCACAGCTAGTAATAATGATTGGCACTAAACTTAATTAATAGTAAATGACACTTTTATTAATACACACATATTAATAAACTTCATTATTAATAAATGTGGTATGAGCGTTAAGCAATTTGAGTTAAATATTGCAATCATTTTCCAAGCGACAGATGCATAAATTCAGTACATAGTTTAGATCTTTTAGAACCCTTAACAATTGCAAAGTCTGGAAGTTTCAGTGAGATGATGACAATTCACAGCAAAGATGGACAAATTATCTGTAATGTTTCCTACATAATGCATGTCTGATGGTACCATGACAACAGAACCTTGAACTCTAGACCCAAGACAGAAGGGCCAGGAACCCTCAGCCAGACATGACACAGCAGGATCATGATCATGACCCCTAACTGAATATTCTGGCCATGATTTTATATATTTATTGCATTAAATAATGTGGTACTATGAAGTGATAAGACTTCCTGATATTCTATGAAGATACAGAGCACATTCCTCAAACACAACCTCACAGCTCCCTGCCCAGACAGCAACAGTGACAGAGTCAGTTCCTCAAACAAAAGGACACCCTCTTACCTCTCAATTTCAGGGCCCAGGCTCCTCAGACTCATTTCAGAATCTGCTCCTCTCCTGAGGATCAGAAGAGGGATTCAAGGATCTGATCCAGACCACCACAACCTGCCAACACAAAACAGAAAGTGAGAAACTCTCATTAACAGCACTGACACTCACACACTGTACTGCTCATTAACAACACTGAAGCACATTAACAACACTGAAACTGTCACAACACGTACTGCACATTAACAACACTACGCTTAGAGTCTGTACTGTACATTTATTGTTATAAGTAACAACAACACTGAGAGTATGTCAGTGTTGATAATGTGCAGTACTGTTGTGATAGTGTTTCAGTGTCTCACACACCATACTGGAAATGAACAACACTGACATACTCTCACATACTGTACTGCACATCTATATAGTTTTTAGATAGTGGTTTATTTTCAAAATACACACAAAACAGAATAATTACCCATATTGATCTAGTGGGCTAATCACAAACATACAACATCCAAGTTACATTATGAATCACTATGTAATGCCTAACCAAAAAAAGATACAAACCTGCCTGCTGTACCAAACAGAATACAACCTAGAGTTAAATATCTCGCCTGCAAAGGGACCTGCAACACTATTTTTACATTTCAGGGTTAGAAAGAATAAACATTGATAAGTGCATGTCAAACCATTATAAAAGTAAAAATGTATACAGTAACTTCTAAAAGTTCAATGTCACATCACAAAATAGACTACATTTTCAGGCATGTGCAGTACTATATTCTGCGATTCAGAATGAGGCAACAAAACATTCAGTGATGTGAAGTGGCCCTATTACATTGAAAACAAGCAGGCTTGTGAATCCATCTCTTTTGATCCAATAGGAATAATGTTCTCAACTTCGAGATGGTTTTGCCGACAAATTCTGTACCTGAACATAAACAGTAAAGGAACATGTCTGCTGCACAACCTGTACTTATTTCCTCATACATAGGATTACATTAGTCATTACAGAGACAAGTGAGCAGGAAGGGTGGCTTAACGTCAAGTGAACTCTCACTCTTGCCTGTGGCGAGACCAGAGGTTTGGCAACTTGCAGTACTTTCACAAACTTCACGACTTTGTACTTAATTCAAATTTGTCATTTTTTTACTAAATTGTCAATTAACTTATTTTGTTACTGAGATTTAAAAACCAGTCTGAAAAATTGGGACAGCAGTTCTCCCTTAAATCTGGATGCTTAAAAATGAATGCAAACCTATCTTTTTGTTCTAAAATTGAATTCACTATACAGTATTTGTATTTGTAATTGTTAAAACAAATTAAATTCCAACATCACTAAACTAGTAAAGATGTTGTACTCAGCATCTGAAGGCTAGAGTCTAGAGCATTTTGAATACCAGATACAGAAACTCCCCAGAAAATATATGAACAGGAAAACTACATGTAGATTCTTCTCATAACCTTTCTTTTCAGAAAAAGCTACTTTCCAAATATGTCTCAATTTTTTAGAATTGAATGAAGTATAAATGTGAAAAATAACTGTTTTACACACAAACCATTTTAGAGATTGCTGAAGTCAATCAGAAATTAATGTCTTCATTTTCAAATATGTAAAGACATATCCCAGTGGGCATTGATTCATCGAATACACGTATATTCACGGCGAAAATACGGCTATACGTATATATACGTCGCCTCGACGTATAATCAACGTCAAATTGCAACCGTAAAATCGACGACCTTAATAAACGCATATATAACGTCGAAAACACATCTAACACAGTGCCTGAGGCTTTTTACTGTATGTATCGTGTGTGCCGCAACTAGGAGTATACGGCACTTTGCACAGTGTACGAAGTAAATTATTTTCGCAGTAATTAATTTACACCTGTATAATAAATATAGTAAATATAATAAATTAATTAGGCGATGTATATATATGTATAGCCGTATTTTCGCCGTGAATATACGTATATTCGACGAATCAATGCCCACAGCTTGGCATACAAGGGTTTTGCGGAGGGGGTCTTGCCACCTGCCTGAAAAAAAACAGTAAAATGTTTGAGTGCCTATAGAGTTTCTATTTTTATTTTCTTGAGAAAAGTTGATACCATTTCCTGGACACCCCGTCCCCCATCAGTGCGCGGTGCCCGGGGAAAAATCTGTAGGGGGTGTCTGAAATTCTGAGGGGGGGTGATATTTCAGTTGAAACGGAGCTGTACGGTGCAGCTACCCAAATGAAATCTCACAGCTCAGCCATTGATTAGTGCTTCATGATAGAAGATAACGACTAGCAATCTGTTATTTGGGATGAAGTTCAGTTTCACATTTTTCGTCATTCTCGTGGTTTGTATTGCCTGGAGCGAAAAGTACCATAAGCGTTCATTTTTGCAGCTACATGGAGGTTCTGAATCGTTAAGAAAAAATTGTTGTAAAACCAACAGAAAGCACAGACTGCTATAACTAGTCCTAGTTATATAACGATTTTAATAATAATGATAAACTAATGCAAGGAATCGGTCCACCTGAGCAAACAGGATCGTAATGTTGACACTCAATAACGACGGATAGCCCTCCTTCCCATCAAACAGAGTGAGTGACTGTTCGTGTCATTTAGTGTTGTCTGACCATTTACAAAGTACTGTACAACTATTTTTTTAGGGCGCAAATTAAGTTAGGTAAATCTTTTTGCCCAAAACTGAAGGGGCTACATTCCTCCCTCCCCCCGTGATGCCAGGCCTGTTCCCATCCTATTCCATAATGTCATTATATATAATACAGATGCAGCCATTCAAAATGGGTGAGGTATTTCGCGGCATACCCCGTTGGGCGTGTCACAGTATCACGCGGTATCACGCATTTCATGTGTGTCACGTGACTAACTATCCGGCGTCGCCTTGTAAAAC